CCTCCTTTGCTTTCTCCAGAGGTGCGGCTCCACCGTAAACAGGAAACTGGCGTCCCACGGCTTTGGCGCGTCCATGGCAGCAATGTCATCCTTCCCTCCACAGAGATATCACTACTTTTTAGTGTTGGATTTTGAGGCCACTTGTGACAAACCACAAATTCATCCTCAGGTAAATATCCAGCCCCATTTATTCTTCCTTTGCAAACTGCTGCCTCCCCCTGTGAAGTGGGATGCAGTGTCTGTCCATTCACATCCCCACCAACAGCTCTGAGGTTTACCCCATGCCCTCCCAGTTCTATGCACACTTCCTCAGCAGCTGTTATCAGCCCAACTGGTCTCTGATGAGCCATTCCTACCCCTTAAAATGGCAGACAGCCTTGAAAAGACATTTGTTGTCTGAGAAACTTTACCTGTCTTAGGCCTTAAATGCTTCTCAGCTCTCTGGCTTGGGGATGGATTGAGCTGGTATCAGCTGGGAACGCTGTATTATTGGCACACTCCAGACCGCCTCATCCGTTTCTGCAGGAAAAACATGTGTCTAGCCTATAAAGTTGTGAATGAAGCAGTCTGGATGTGAATGTATGCAGGGCTGCTTGTTGGAGTCTGCAGGTCTTTAGTCATAATAGCTTTGAAAGGTGTGAACTTTCCTGGGCTTATCTTATCTGGGTGTTTAACTCTGAAGTCTAACGATAATCAAATAATTAAAATAGAAGCCTCCAGCTACTCTGGGATTTTGGGTGCATCTTGAGAGTGCTACTTTCAGCTTCTCACCCCTGAAACTAACACCAGATATAGACCTCTCCACATGTCTTCTGCAAATGGTTGTTTCCTTGACAGTGGAATGCAAAATGAATTAATAACTATATTTTCAATAGGGATATCAATCGATTAAAAAAATAATTGTGTGATTAATCGCACTGTTAAAGAATAATGGAATACCATTTATTTAAATATTTTTGGATGTTTTCTACATTTTCAAATATATTGATTTCAATTACTACGCAGAGTACAGTGCTCACTTTATATTATTTTATTACAAATATTTGCACAGTAAAAAACAAAAGAAATAGTATTTTTCAATTCACCTAATACAAGTACTGTAGTGCAATCTCTTTATCATGAAAGTTGAACTTACAAATGTAGAATTATGTACAAAAAATAACTGCATTCAAAAATAAAACAATGTAAATCTTTAGCGCCTACAAGTCCACCTAGTCCTACTTCTTGTTCAGCCAATCGCTCAGACAAACAAGTTTGTTTACATTTGCAGGAGATAATGCTGCCTGCTTCTTGTTCACAATGTCACCTGAAAGTGAGAACAGATGTTTGCATGACACTATTGTAGCCGACGTCTCAAGATAGTTATGTGCCAGATACAGTTAAAGATTCATATGTCCCCTTTATGCTTCAACCATCCTTCCAGAAGACATGCGTCCATGCTGATGGCGGGTTCTGCTCGATAACGATCCAAAGCAATGCAGACTGACACACATTCATTTTCATCATCCGAGTCAGATGCCAGTGACAGAAGGTTGATTTTCTTTTTTGGTGGTTGAGTTCTGTAGTTTCCGCATCGGCGTGTTTGCTCTTTTAAGGCTTCTGAAAGCAAGCTCCACACCTCGGCTCTCAGATTTTGGAAGGCACTTCAGATTCTTAAACCCTGGGTCGAGTGCTGTAGCTATCTTTAGAAATCTCACATTGGTCCCTTCTTTGTGTTTTGTCAAATCTGCAGTGTTCTTACAACAAACAACATGTGCTTCATTTTAAACCTGCTGCCTATTAATTTAATTCAGTTACCCCTGGTTTTTGTGTTATGTGAAGGGGTAAATAACACTTCCTTATTCACTTTCTCCACACCTCGGGGACAGCACTATTCACCTTTCCAATGTGAAAACTGACCATTTATTCCTGCCCTTTGTTTCCTGTCTTTTAACTAGTTACTGATCCATGAGAGGACCTTTCCTCTTATCCCATGACACTTAAGAGCCTTTGGTGAGGGACTTCGTTAAAGGTTTTCTGAAAGTCCAAATACACTAGATAACCCTTGTCCACATGTTTGTTGATCCTCTCAAAGAATTCTAATAAATTGATGAGGCATGATTTCCCTTTATAGAAGCCATGTTGACTTTCCCCCCACAAATCGTGTTCATTTATGTTTCTGATAATTCTGTTCTTTACTATAGTTTCATCCAATTTGGCTGGTACTGAAGTTAGGCTTATGGGCCTGTAATTATCAGGATCACTTTCGGAGACATTTTAAAAAATTGGTGTCACATTAGCTATCCTCCAGTCATCGGGTACAGAGGCTGATTGAAGTCCTAGGTTACATACCACAGTTAGTAGTTCTGCAATTTCATATTTGAGTTCCTTCAGAACTCTTAGCTGATTACCATCTGGTCCTGGCGACTTATTACTATTTTACTTTATCAATTTGTTCCAAAACCACCTCTCTTGACACCTCAATCTGAGACTTCCTCAGAGTTGACACCTAAAACGAATGGCTTGGGTGTGAGACTCTCCCTCACATCCTCTGCAGTGAAGACTGATGCAAAGAATTTATTTAGCTTCTCCGAAATGTCCGTATCTTACTTGAGTGCTCCTTTAGCACCTCAATTGTTCAGTGGCCCCACTGACTGTTCGGCAGGCTTCCTGCTTCTGAGGTACTTAAAACTATTTTTTTTTTTTTGCTGTTAGTTTGAGTCTTTTGCTACTTGCTCTTCAAGTTCTTTTTTGGCCTGCCTAATTATACTTTTCTGTTGGACTTGCCAGAGTTTATCAATGTGGGTCTTGGATTTCCGTTTTTATTGAGTAGTTTTAGTCACTCAGATGTTACCCAGGGTGGTAATGAACAGCCAGAATCATAGTGTCTCAAAATAGTCACAAGATTTGGTTCCTGTAAACTACAGCTACACTAGGAATTTGACCAGTCGCTGGCATTGGCAGCTAGCAGTGGGTGTCTGATGACATGCTAATGGCTTTGTCTCATTTGTACGAAAAGTTAAACCGTTTTCAACTCCGGGTCAGGGCGTCTCAGTGCTGAGAACTGTTGTAAGAAACCAGTTCTTTAGTTAATACCGACCTGCCTTAACCTGGATCTTTACTTAGCATTAGACTTTTAAAGAGGGGTTTGCAGGTCTGGATTGAGCATTCATAGCATCTCCCCATGCAGTGTCTTGCTGTGGGCAGGGCGGTCGGTTCCTCATGTCTGTGAAAACAATTCACCTGAAAATTAAAGGAAAATTGCCTCCTGTGGTATTGTGTCTTCCTGAGGCCATGCTGTGGCTTTGCATCTACTTCTGCTGGGAAAGCCTTCCCCTCTGTCCAAGTGAGATGTCAGGATATTTCTGGCACGCCCGGCTTCGGGTGCACAGACCTGTCAAAACTGTACATTGGTTCCACCTTGTCCTTTTGATATGGGTTTGGTCTGTGCACATTTTGATGCAAAACCATGAGGCATGTGGAGCTGGTTTACAGCTGGCAGTAAAATGGAGCATGAGTGGAATATGATTACTACGGTTTTAAGGAGCTTTGTCCCCAAGTCCTTGCCGTGAAAGTAATGGTTTGGACCAGTGCAGATCTGCTATATATTTTGTTGGTGAGATGGAACCTTTAAGGCGGGGATGTTCTTTGATTTTGTTTTTTAATGATCTGTGTTCAATGCCTGCCTGCATCATGCCATGTCTGGCCAGGGCTGACAGTACCTCTCTTCTGCAAAAACAAATTAGCCTGAAAACGAAAGAAATGATGCTTACTAGGGTTCTTACTGCACTGGGATCAGCACAGCTGATAAGGCTTAGAGAAAGTGTCCTCAGAAAAGCCACCATGTAAAAATGGGACTTTCCCATTCACTGTATCTGAGTCATCTGTTTACTGACATACATGTTTTTTGCTACTGTTAGCACTGAAGAGCCCAGAGAACTATCGGTGAGCACGCTGACTTTATGCTGCCTTAGCCAGCATTGTCCCTGGAAATATCTAAGTTCCAGTTACGGAATCTTTTACTGGTAGCGATGTAAGATGCAGAGGTTTGGTCTGAGCCCAGGATTTGGAGCCAGGAACAGCCAAGTCCTAATCTTACATCTGCCACTGGTTCCTTCTGTGACC